CTTAAAAAGTACTTTAAACTGTATAAATACAATTGAAAGCGATTGACCAATCAGAAGAAAGTTATCCTATATGGTTGATGCATAAAATTAATTAAAAGTCTAATATGTTACGTACGTACGTACTAGAGATGCAGGCGAATCGTCCAATGATTGGCTTTAGAAAAATACGTACTATCCTAATACTATATTGAGTGCTTGCTTATTAGGTGTAAGTACCTAAACAATACTCCAGTCAAGTATAATAGCCAAGGAAATAAATGCTAGTAAAAGTAGAATTGCACGCGTGGGGTTGGGTCACAACACTATTTACAGGTTTATATTTGTACTTTCGTATTATTTTTTTCATGTTTATTGTCCGGATCTCAGATTCAAACTGAATCAGGTTTTTCGATAATATCGAATCGAACTCCACCCTCGAAAATTTAAAAAAACTAGTCATTCATAATTCTCGCCGTCACGATTATTTCAACCTTTTTCAACCGGTTTACCCGATTTCAGTGATCCGGGTGACAATTTTATATCCGGTTCGGAACTCTAGTTTAATCGTGACCGATCATAAAAATAAATTTCTTTTTGAATATGGTCGGTCAATAAGTGAACGAACTAGGGTTGAGGCACGGGTAAAAAAATAGGCATGCCTCAATGGGCATGCCCACATTTAATCATATAACAGACAATTAATCAATAAAAATCGTTTAAATTATTTGTCAAATATTATAAACGACTAATCATAATTAATTATTTCATATGAATTTGTGACTATACCTTTTGTTCTTTCTACAGTAGAAATGGGTCCATATCATCTCTCCGACATTTTTTTCTTCTACATATTTTACTGACATCACATAGGGTGATGATTAATATTTAAAGCCTAGTTTAAATATTAATCGTCACACTACGTAATTTTAGTAAAATAGTTGTCAAAGAAAAAAATGACGGGAAATAATATGGACCCAATAGAAATACTGTGATTCAGAGAACAGAGAATTAATCGGAAGTTAGCGACAGGTGCAATTTTTTTTAGGTTAAGGCAATTCAGCAATCAGCAAAGTAATTTGTACCTTGACTAAAAAGTGCTAAGTTTTTTTTAAAAAAAACTTGAAGATAGCGATTCAATAATATTTACAGTTAATTTTTTCAATATTTTTTCCGAATATAAATTATTTGACCAAGTTTTTAAAAACTACAATAGATTAGATATAGAGTATGCGTAGAATATGTACTGTACGATTACATGCTATGTTTTATAACTACAGTAGTGTTTTGTTTTTTATACTGTCCATACTCTTTATGTGCTTATTGATAGTTAACGGCCCTTTTTAATTCATTTATGTTATTCATTTTTTTATCCTGTTATTAAACTATATACTAGTCAGTAAGCGATTTGGTCAATAGAGATTATCTATATATTTAAGGAATTAATAAATTTAAAAACTTTTTTTTATTGAGTTTAACTAGATATGCATTTGACAATAGCTATAAGAATTAATATATGCCCACCTATACTAAAGATCAACCAATATATGTATTAAAAATTGTCATCTTTTTATCTGATAATTTTTAAAATCTTTTTACTTTAAGCTCCTTTCTATTAGTTAATCAAATTTTGTAACATCAAATAATCTACAAATTTGCCAATTAGAATAAATACTCGCTATGTTTAGCCAATCATCAGTATCATGTGATTAGAGCATGCCTTTTGCTCTTCGGCATGCCCTCGAAGGCATGCCCATGCCTCTGTGCCCCAACCCTAGTCCCATGGGACTATGAAATCATGTGTGACCAATCATAACCGACACTAACATTGAGAACAAAATAACTTCTACGCTCTTTTTGGATTTACTAATTTTCCCCACCAGTTCCTATTGGATAAAGAGAAATCCTGCTTTTATTGGATGACATTGACTTATAAATTTTATTTGATCAAATAACGGAAATATCATTAAAACAGTATAAAAGTCTAATAGGATGTATACTATACTAAAATTTTGCAAGGAAATTTTTTTGTTAGAATATGAAAGATGGTTTAAGTTATCGGCGATTTTTGAAATTTCGATTTTTTTTTTTTTGAAAATTTGTTACACCTGATCTTATGATTTGATTGGTAATGAAAAGTGGCGTAGTCTAACTGGTGGAGGAAATTAAGGCGCTTTTTTTCGCTTAGAAATTACTGCACACTTATATAAAAGATTAACCAATTAGCATATATTCTTAACGACCAATAACGATAAGTGAATATTCTGTATTCTAACGGATCCAATTCAGGTATTGAATCGGATCTCTATGTAGATCTGGATTCGTCGGATCTTATAAATTATAGATCCGGATTCGATCCGATAGGTTGGATTCAATTCGGATATCGGACATCAGATCGGATCTGCGGAACACTAGTGTTAGGGTTAGAATTGACCGGGGTAAAATCGCCACCCAAAAAAGTTTCGAAAATCACGTGAGATTGTCAATTCATCATGATTTGAATCATGATAATAATATTTAGTAAAATATTAATTGATTTAGCAAGTGATTTTTTTTCAATTCTTCAAAATGAAATGCGATCGTTGCGGTCTTGACAAATCAAGTGATTCTTTTAAAAGCGTAAACTCCAATAAACACAATATTCTAAAAACATGCATTGATTGTCGTAACCAAATTTCCACTAATAATAAACGAAAGAAGAATGAAAATCGAAATAAAATTATAAGAACCAATCAAGAAAATGCAATTGCACCGGAAAACCTTGTAGATTTTATTTTCAACGCTCTTCTGGAAGACTATAACCCTGATTATTTATTTGAGCAAAAAGTTTTCATAATTCTGGATCCATTATTACATATTGTCGATACAAATTTAGAAGATCAAGTAGACAAAGAGGTTGCACAACATATAATTAAGCTTATTTCGAAGGCTGATAAGTTTTCTTGGGTATATCACAAATGTAATAGATTGAAAAATTCAATTTTATTCACTTATTATTGTAATTGTTGTATAGAATTAAAAAATAAAAAAGCACGAGTTGATGATATTTCTAATAGACGAGATACAATATCGCGAATTGACCGATATGAATGCAATGGAACTATTCAAATTAACATTAAACATGCTTATAATTTGGCGATAGTTAATATATATCATTATCTTCACTCACCACCTGAAATAATAGATGTTTCTATTTCAATTTGCAATTATATTATAGAGAACAATTTATTAACAGTTCCTCAACTCTATGAAAACATTAAAAATAACAAGATCGATGGATTTTTAAATATCACTAGACATCAAATTTATTATTGGTTAAAGAAATTTGCTATGACAAAATACAAGTTATCTAACGATCAATTAGAATCAGCTCGATTATACTTAGAAAATAATTCAGGTTTCAAGCTTCTCTTTCAAGATCAACACATGCTAGCATTTTTAACTCCTTTATTGTTTTTATTACCAAATAAAGTTACAAGAACAATCATTATTGATGCAACTTACGGAACTAACCATTTGAAATTTGAATTATATGCGGTACTGGGAATTATTGATAATTCAGGATTTCCCTTGTCATATTTTTTTCTTGATCCAAGATACTCATATAGTAAAACTCATGCAATTACTAAATGGTTCCAATATTTAAAAATAAATGGAAAAGAGATTATTGATTAGAACTCTTTCCATCAATCACTTACACAAAACTTAACTAAAAATTCGCCAGTATAAAATCCTTAATAACTCAATATTTTATTAAGATAAC